TGGCGACGAGGGCGAGGAATTTGGGGAAGAAGTGGTGGCCGGGGGGGGGGGGGCGTTGTTTAAGTGAAAACTTAACGGTAGCGCGTTTCCGAAAACGCGCTATAGCTAAGTTAGCTACAGCGCGTTTCCTGAAACTCGCTACTGCTATTCCTTTCTCCTTTTTCCCTTTTTTCATTTATTTTTCTTTACATTTTATTTTTTCCCTTTTTTCTTTTTCTATTTCTTTCATTTTCATTTACTTTTCTACTTGTTTTTCATTTATTTTATTATCGTTAGCAGTAGCGCCTTACAAATAAACGCGCTGTTACAACAAAGTTAGCGGTAGCGCTGTTTACGGCTCAGCGGTGGAAATTTTTGTAGTAGCACTTTTACGTTTGGACGCGCTACTGCTATTTGTGTATCTGCAGCGCGGTTTTCTTGAGCGCGCTACTGCTATCTAGCAGCAGCGCCCATAACACGTGCTACTGCTAAAGTTCTGTGTATAGACTTTTCCCTAGTAGTGCTACCCCAACCCTTCCATTGGTTGTGGTTCTCGTCACAATGAAAATGGTGTTCACCTTCAACATGCAGCACTCTAGGAGGCGGCAGCTCCACGTCGCATCATTCGCTTGCCTATTGCAGCAACAACGACACAAACCTGCACGAACTCCACCAAGCGGTGGCTTGCATGCTGCCACCCCCCTCCTGACCTAGCCTAGGGCCGGGCATGCAACACTCACGCATGAACAAACTGCTTGGGCTATATACTGCCCACTGCTATAAAGAGCACCGTCTCGCCTCCGGCGAGTGCGCTACTGGCTGGCCCAGTACTGTAGCAGCGTCATGAGTTTTCCTTGTGGTATTTTTTTACTGTTTAAAGTGGTTTTCTTTGTTTGTCTCGGGGTTTCTTTTTTTCTGTTTTCTTGTTTTCATTGCTTTTCTTCAAAGAAATTGCTTTCTCTCTTTTATTTCCCTTTTTATTCAACACATGTCTATATTTTTTGCACACATTGTACATTTTTCTTACATCAAGAACATTCTTTTGCATGTTTACATATTTCAAATACATAATTAACATTTTTCTAAATTTATATTTTTATATGTTTCTCATACACATTCTATATTTTTTGTATACATATAATATATTTTTTATGCATGTTTAATATTTTGCAAATACATGATTAACATTTTATTGAATACATGTTTTTGAACATTTTTTTAATATGTGTTAAAAAAATAAAATGCATGTTTAAATAATCAAAGATAATAAAACCTTTTTAAAACTATGTGAACATTTTTCACATTGTATAAATATTTTTTTAAATGTCACAACATTCTATTAAAATGCGTGATTATGGACCAACCTGTTTAAGGCGTCCTTGAGGGGCGATTGGCTTGTATCTTGCTGCTGGCAAGACACATCAGCACCCTGACTCCCCTCAAAATTTTCTCAAAAAAAAAAAAAAGCGCCCTGACCAAACTTGCCATGTTCACAGCTTCCCTAATCTGCACACACTTATTGCTAATGAGACTCACTTTCAGCTTGCATGTACACACATGGTCAATTCTCTATCCGTGCACACGGTAACATGACTCGGCTATATGCATGACCCAAACTCAAAGCAAGGAAAACCAAAGATGATGAACATCATACAGCAAGGTTTGCTCTAACAAGAAGCTCCACCGCATGGTTCACTTGGATTTGTGTCCCACAAGTACATGTGGGCAGTGTAAAGGACACAAATCAGCGGCAGTAGATATTTACTACCAAACCCAAGAAAATAATGACAAATTTACCAAATAATTTACCATTGCAATAAACAAATAGGGGTGTGTACCACAACACATCAATGTTACATTAGATGTCCTCAACTTACAATACTATAAAGAAAATGCAATGCAATACAAACGAAGCTAAAGACAAAATAATACTACTTCAACAAACAAACACACGTGGAACACAAGACTGTTTAGAACTGTGCTTGGATCCAATCTACCGTGTTCTTCTCCACCTGGAAGGCCTTGGTAATAACATCATCTGAGATGGCAGGCTCCGACACAAACACCGCATTGGCTACCGTGATCACTCCGGGGTTCTGGCTGCTCAGTGCCGCGATGGCCACCGCATGTGTATTCCCATTATTGAACTGGTAATGGACGAGGCCCTTGGGGAACACAAACACGTCTCCCTTGGCGAGAACCTTGGTGAAGTGTCGGTTCTCAGGGTCCGAGGTGACGAAGCCGACGTGGAGACAACCCTCTAGCACGGTCAAGATCTCGGTGGAGCGTGGGTGGGTGTGAGGAGGGTTGAGGCCGTTCGGCGCGTAGTCGATGCGGACGAGGGAGATGCCCATGGTGTTAAGACCGCCGATCTGCACGACGTTGACGGCGGTCACCGCGGAACCCTGCTTGTTGGCCGTGTTGCCGGCCAGATGGAGGCCGGAGAAGAAGAAGTCCTCGGCGACGATGTAGAACTTGATGCAGAGATATGATGCTATTTTCATGATATATTTCGTGTATCCTACACAGACTTTTCTCTATCTTTTTTCATCTTTTCTACTTCTTGGTACGGTATGACAGCATTTCAGCCTGCAAAGACGAAAGTAGAACTTGGATCAGAACTTGAAATGAGAAGAGACCAGATATCAAACTCGAAACACGTCTTACGTGACTGAATTGGCACAAGGGGCAATTGCCTTGCAGGTTTCAAAACAAGTATTTGGTAGGTGGAGCAAAGAGTTTTCAGAACAAACTTGCCTGATTTCTGGCACGATCGAATTCAAAGAACTATGTCTTCTGCACAGCTGCCTCAGGATCCCAGCTTCTGGAACACAAATCAGTACTGCCGCAGCCACTCAGTACCAGGCTCAGGCTTCCAGTTGCGCACCCTGAGGACACCGATGACACCATTGTAGTGGAATGGCTCTCTGAGCGTCCACTCCAGGTGCTCGAGAGTGTAGCCAGATAAGAGTGCAGCCACCCACGAAAGCCACCAACAGCCTCTACGTCCTCCTTGTCAGAATCGTTGACTCTCCAGCTCCCCGTGGTACGCCGTGAGGACACCAGCACTACAACTGCAGTGGCATGACTGCTGGAGCATCCCCTCCAGCTGCCTGAGAGTCTGTCCAGTGAAGAGCGCAGCCACCCACGAGAGCCCCCACAGCCTCTGCCACCTCCACTCCAGGCGGATCCGGCGCGACCATTGTCTGTGCCTTGACGTCATAGCGATCTGAGCTGTAGGTCTTGTCAGGGTCAGGGCAGGGCATGGTGATAGAAGCCTCGCAGAACGGACAACAGTATGGTGCATGGCCACGAATCCATGGGATGATGCATCGCTCGTGGAATTTATGCAAGCACGCCGGAAGGGCAAGGATCATATCAGTAGGTGCAAAGTCTTGGGCGCAGATGCAACAGAACATCCCCTGCTGCAACAGCACGGGGGGTTGCGCGAGCAACGCCAAGATCACCAGCTCCACCTCTGGTAGAGTGGGCGCAGATGGCACAGGGACCTTCAACCCAAACATCAAACCTTCTGCATGCTCTCTAGATGAAGCCTCCTGGCAAGCATGAACAGCTGCCGCCGCCCCACGCTTCCTGTCAGACTCTCCTAATGATGAGGCCCTCCGGGAGATGCTGCTGTGGCGAGAGAATGGCGACCAGGACGAGCGAGGGGGACGGGAGCTACGGCAAAGGACCTTAATGCAACAGATCAGCAAGGTCGAAGCGATGATGACGATAGCGATAATGGCGATGCTGGCACCTATGGATGATGACGGCGCAGCTGAGGGTGACGCGCTCGGCACAGAGGGATATCCCCTAAGAAGAGGTGGTGGCGGTCCTGGAAGCATATCTGGAGAAACACAAACACAATAATCGAAATCAGATTCCTCTACTAGGTCAACCGAACAAATTGATGACAAAAGGATGAGCATGCTAACAAGAAACTAGTGGACAACTTTACAAAATCAACTGAGACTGTAGCTGCTGAAAAAAAAGGTCAATGATCTAATTACTTCTTCCTCTAAAAAGCAGAAACCTGGTAAAGTTTCCCTCCCCCTTCTACAACTGTTGTGTGTTATGGTGCAATTTCAATTGTGTTAAGTTATCATATAGTTGATGAGAAGTTGAAGAGAGAGGCAAAGATAAATATATTCATTGTCAGACATCCAACCTGTATATTTGTCATTTGTCAGTTTTCTTGTAGTCCAAACTATTTTTATTTTATGTACGAGTACTTTTTTACGCAACATCTCACTTTTGGCAAATGCGTTATCCATGACTATTCCTTCAGTTGACTGCAAGTATTTGTCCGGGACAATGTAATATTATGAACTTTCAGGAAGTTAATTAGCTACATGGTATCTACTTCTAGAGATGCCTTGCTTCTGTACTAACGTTGCTCTAATTTTTAACTCTGCAGCCGGATGCCGTTTGAAGAAGAACCAAGTTCTCAGCAGATGTCTTACTTCTGCACTAACATTGCTCTAATTTTTAACTCTGCATCCGGATGCCATTTGAAGAAGAAGCAAGTTCTTAGCGGTGTAGGAAAATTGGCATCTCTATCTGATTCTACCGATACTGAAAGTGAAGTTGCTGGTGTGCCAAATAGCAGTATGCCTGAATCCTGATCACAAGGTACGGTTCATTGCATATGCAATTATGCATGCATATAGTGAATAATAAGTGATGAATGTTCATTTTGTAAGACGGCTTGACACTCTGACCTTACGCAGTTCCTATGCAGTCAACATGTGGAGAACTGGAGATACAAAGCGTGAAGAGGATGAATTCAGTGAATTGGGAATACTATAAATCTCGCAATGCAGCCCTCCAATCAACCTGAACTCCACAATTCAGCTAGCAACCTGTGAATCCCCCACTTCCCCGCACAGCTCGAAATTTCTCAACGCGAAATGCACTCGAAGATGATGAATCGGGCGACAAATCCTAAGCCTTAAGGGAAGGGGAAGGCACGTAATAGGTACCTCCTGATGCATCGGTGATGGAAGGGACGACGAGCGAGACGAGGCCCGGCGGTGGCGGCGCTGCGGCTTGAGATCGGGGGCGCCTTCGAGGAGACCTGGACCTGGCGGAGGAGGAGGAGGTACGAGCTAGGGTTAGGTTCCGCGGCGGCGAGGGTTCCCGCGTGCGCGCGCGGGGGGCGGAGGAATCGGGGCGCGCGGGTGAGCGAGCCTTACCTCAGGGGCACGACGGCGACGGGAGGAAAGGCTGACGGAGCGTATAGCCGGTGCCGGAGCACTCGCCGGCGGGAGGGATAGCGCGCGCGGCGGCGGTGGAGATGGGAGAGGAGAAGCGGAGGTGGGAAGGTTTTGGTGGGGGATTGGCGCCTGAGCTGAGACTGAGCGGGAGGAGGACGGCGATTAGAAAGAAGCATTAATGAAAAACAAGCAGTCCTATGGCCCACGGGTCAGCGTAACAGGATATTGATCTCTCTTTTTTCCCTCATGGTCTTCTGATTTATTCATCAAACATCGTGATGGTACAAAGAACACCAGAAGTAAAATAAATTGCATCTATCTTCGTAGATCACCTAACTATGCCTACAAACACTGAAGAGAGACAAAATCATGATGTCATCATTACCCCTCTCTCTCGTCGGAGTGGGGTAACTCTAGTTGTAGTAGACAGTCGGAAAGTTGTCATGTAAGGCCTTAAGTGACAAATGCATTAGAACCGCAAGATCAGCTAGAGCCACACCTGCACATGACCTCCGATGATGCTAGCCACAGGCGAGGGAACATTGATGTTTAGCACATTAATGTATGTTGCAGCAAAAATTTAAATAAAAAATCTGAAACATTGCTCAAGCTACAAAAAAACAAATTCGACACTAAATAGCACATAACATAAGGGCTTTAGATTTGGTTCATTATCACATCGATGCCAAAAATTTCATTTTTGTATCTCATACAATATTTCGAATTCTGATACAAAATTTTGTGACAGCACACATTGATGTTGTCTTAATGTGCTAGATTGTTTTTAGATTTTTTTTGAAACATTTTATAATGCGATATGGCGTCCCTAATCGTCTGGAGCCGCTCGTGGGAACGAGGAAAACGACTTTTCATGTGTTTCATTTTTTTTCCCTTGTGGATTCAATGATGGAGCAACATATTTAGCATATATCACGCATTAAAAAAACAGTTTAGCATATATCATGCGTTAAAAAACATTTTAGCATATATCATGCGTTAAAAGAAAATGGGTATATCATGCAAAGAATGGCCTTGGAAAGTTTTCCAAATTTATCTGCAAGTCAATATTTTGCTTTGAATAAGACAAAATTAACCATGGCTTGGAGATATGAATACACAGCAACAATGAAGAAATATTTCATGTAGACATTAACATTACTTTTTCTAACATTAGTTTCTCCTAGCTAAATTCAGTAGTACAAACAAATCAATAACATAAGAAACAACCAAGGGTCCATAGACATGAGGCGAAAAACTCTGGTACAAGAACATATTCCTACATACAAAACGCTCAAGTGGATAATTCATAAATAAGAAAGAGTGAAAACTTGTCAACTAAAATAAACTTCATAGTGGCCTTGGTCATTGTTTACAATTGAGCTGATAAATCTCGCAGATGATGACTATAACTTGTTGGCAAAGCTTGCCACCAAAGTGAACTACGGTCTACGAACATCTCCATGGGAATTGTTAGCACAAGTAGAGGTAGGTTTACTGTTGCTGATCACCTTGTCAGCAAGATCTTGCAAGAGAGTCCGTTGTTTAGATCCTCATCGTCTGGTCCAGGATCATGAGATCCGAACTACAAACACAATCTCTTTTCTTGATAATAGCACGATAACTCGTTACCAATTACTCCCTCCGTCCCAAAATAAGTGTCTTAACTTTGTACTAGCTCTAGTGCAAATTTGTACCAAGCTCAAGACACTTATTTTGGGACGGAGGAAGTACTAACTTGGCAAACTAGCAATCCATCAAAAACTTCAGCCTGAAACATGTCTTTCCGCATCATTTGCTTAGCTAGGTAGATTTTGCAAGGCATCCAAGCTCCTGCCTATTCTTTCCTCTATCCAGCCAAGTCTCCTCTCAAGTTTTAACACACTAGCATGCATAACCCTAATATCAACTTCCGCAAGCTTGGCAAATGAGCGTAGCAACAGGTAATAATCAGCATGTCCAGCACAAACAAGATGACCAGTCATTGTCTTTCTTCTATAGTGAAGGTAACCATCTGATTTTGGCCACTTCCTTGGTGGCATATAACAAAATCCGTGGTCTTCCATTTCTGACTTGATACTTTGTATCCCTGATGATGATAATGCAGAAACGCACCTTGCGCCAACAGAAGTCCCATCCCTACCTCGTTTATTCACTCCATTTGTGGTGTGCGCTTTTGAATTCTCATCCTACAGTGCAACAGGTTTAGACATCGAATCAACAACAATCGCTGCCAAAAGACATGTAGATAATCCTCAAGGTGCTCCATTTGTACAATTTTAAGTTCA